TTTTAACTTTTTCTTTTGACTTTTCAAAGCCCTAAACTAAAAGGTAAAAAGGAGTAAAGACATCATATTGTTCTTCTTTTGGCTTCATTCCACATTTCCACTTTGTTGTTCATGGTGAAGTAGAAGTGAGATTTGAGAACAAGTAACAAGGTATGTTATCTAAAAAAAATAATTATTTATTAATGTACTTTATTTGTTTTATATGTTTTTCTTGATTTATGAAGTGGTTCCATTATTTGATTGCTTGAATATTTAAATTTATAAGAATTTCTTGATTTCTAATAGTTATCTAATAATTGTGATTCTTTTATTAGTAAACTTGTTATTTGTGCTTATATTTTTTAAAAATTATTTTGTTTTTATAAGATTGAATAGAAGTGTGAATATTTAATTTTGTAGGTAAAATAATTCTTACAATCAATTCATCAAATCACAAATGGATAAGTTTCTCATCAAGTTACCAAAGCCAAAAGATGGCCAACCAAGTTCTAGCTCTAATCAACCATTTGTGAGTTCACAAGTTGCTCCGGAAGTTCAAAGACATACAAATTCTTTTCCACTTTCAAATATGGATAATATACTTGATTTTAAATCTCTGGAAGCAGATCCCAAAGATCGAATGCCTATTTCATCTTATTGTCATAATATTCGAAATGCGGTAAGAAGGTATTACATTCAAAAAAAGCCATGTCAACTTGTTGATCATATCTTCCCTAAAACTAAGTTTGGAGATAAAATGCGTCAATTTCGACCAACTTGGTTTAAGAGAAGATCTCAATGGTTGGAATATAGCATTAAAGCAGACACAACATTTTGTTTGTGTTGTTTTTTGTTCAAGAATGAACTTGAAAGTCGTGGAAATGCCGGAGATTCATTTACAAGAGATGGTTTTAGGTGTTGGAACAAAGCTTTAGAAAGATTCAAAAAACATGTTGGTAAGGTAAATAGTATCCATCATAAATGTTTCAATAGGATGCAAGATTTGAAAAACCAACGACAATCGATCCAATCTTCTTTTGACAAGCAAAGTGAAAAGGCAAGAAGTGATTATCGGATGCGTTTAAATGCCTCAATTGATGTAGCAAGATTTCTCTTGACATCGGGATTTCCATTTCGTGGACATGATGAAAGTGAAGGTTCCGAATATAAGGGTGCTTTTCTTGAACTTTTGAAATGGTATGGGGATAGAAGTTTTGATGTGGGAAGAGTAATATTAGGTAATGCTCCACAAAATGATATGATGATTTGTCCGACAATTCAAAAAGATATTGTGGAGGCTTGTGCTAAAGAAACAACTAAGGCTATCATTGAAGACTTGGACGGTGATTATTTTGGAATATTAGTTGATGAATCAAAGGATGTTTCTCATAAGGAGCAAATGGCTCTAATTTTGAGATATGTCAACAAAAGTGGAATGGTGATAGAGCGATTCTTGGGTATTGTCCACGTAAATGATACATCTTCTCAATCATTAAAAAAGGCAATTTATTCTTTGCTTTTGGATCACTCATTATGTACATCCAAAATACGTGGTCAAGGTTATGATGGGGCTAGTAATATGCAAGGGGAAATAAATGGTCTCAAGTCTTTGATTTACAAGATACGGCATCTGCATGTTCTATTCAATGTTTTGCTCACCAATTGCAATTGGCACTTGTAGGTCTTTCCAAAAAGAATTCGGATGTGGATAATTTTTTTTATGTTCTCACTAATATTTTGAATACTATTGGAGCTTCATTTAAACGCAGAGATTCACTTCGACAACATCAAGAAGATAAGTTGGAAGAGTTGCTTAAATTTGGAGAAGTTCATACAGGGCAAGGTTTGAATCAAGAACGTGGCCTCCAACGACCGGGTGATACTCGTTGGGGGTCTCATTTTAAAACCTTGGACAATTTCCTGATTCTTTTTTCTTCAATTGTTAATGTGCTTAAGAATATGAAACGTGATTGTCCTTATTATCTTGATAGATTTACGGCGGAAAATCTTTTGAGCAAGATTCATGAATTTGAATTTGTCTTTATGTTGCACTTGATGTTTAAGGTGTTGCTATTGACGAATGAGTTGAACAAAGTTTTACAAAAGAAAGATCAAGATATCGTTAATGCTATGGAATTGCTTGACCTTTCAAAGAACTGATTGCAATGATGAGAGAGGATGAATGGGACTCTATGATGGATGAGGTTAGCTTATTTTGTGGTAAACATGGAGTTTCAATTCCCAAAATGAATGAAGACTACTCTAATGGGAAGTCGAAGTGTAAGAGGTCCAATATTTCATATTTGCATCACTTTCGTGTGGAAGTGTTTTATGCCGTCATTGATTTGGCACTTCAAGAACTCAATAATCGTTTTGATGTGGTGACTAGTGACTTGCTCCTCGGTATGGCTAGTTTGAGTCCGGTTGATTCATTTGCTAATTTTCACAAGGATAGGATAATGAAACTAGCCGAGTACTACCCAAGTGAGTTTGGTGATAAAGAGCTTCGGGAACTCAATTTTCAACTTGATGATTTTATTGTCTATGCTCAAAAGTGTGATAGCAAGTTTCTCAACTTGAAGGGAATCAAGGATCTTGCAAAAGTGATGATAGAGACAAAACTAGATCAAACTTGGTCACTTGTGTATCTACTTGTGAAGCTAACTTTGATTATTCTTGTTGCTACCGCAAGTGTGGAAAGAGCATTCTCATCAATGAAGTACATAAAGAATGATTTGCGTAATAGGATGGATGAAGATCTTTTGAATGGTTGTTTAGTTTGCTATATAGAGCGTAGTATATTTAAAAATGTAAGTAATGATGTCATTATTGGCCGTTTTCAAAATATGAAAACTCGTCGAGGACAATTGTAAGTGAATGATGTTTTTTGCTAATATATTACTATATAAAGATTGCTACTACCTACTTGCTCGTCAACTTGTTCTCACCGTAAAATTTATATAATTGAATTAATTGTCTATTTTGAAAATAATGGTGCCCCCATGTTCTTGAGATCCTGGATACGCCTCTGAATCGAATCCTACAAGACAGTCGAAATCAAAGCCAAGGAGACAACATGTAATAGTAAAATCGAAGAATAAAATAGCACGAGGGATAAGTAATGATAACAAATAACAAAGAGTCATGTTTTCCCTTCTACTATCGAAAATAAGCTTATATACTTTTCCAACAAATATGCCTATAAAAACCACATATTATCATTAATATAAGGTAAAATACAGTTTGATGGTCAAAATTTCTAGTTCCGACGAAGATAAACTTTTCGTGAACTTCTAGTCCCACGGAATTCTCAAGTTAGCTAAACTTCCCGCGAACAAGATGGATGAATCAGTAGCAGGCGAAATTAGATTCAACATAATCTCATTCACTTCTTGTTTCCACACATTGTACTCCAAAAAATCACCATTTGTTTTCCTCCACAAGATATTCTTGTTTTCCTTCAAACATATTATATCATCCAAATACCATTCTTTGTTCTCCCCAATTCCAAAGAATGAGGGTAAAATTGGAATTTTCATGACATTAGTCCATGTCCATCGTTCTCCATCTTTCTCGAGGGAACACATCAAAAAATCCATCTCAACAAACACGGAAAGATAGAGACGATTAGCAAAATTATACAATTTCATACGATTCCCATGATATTGCAATGGGACGGGCGTTACAACAAATTTCTCATCAGCCACGAACAAAGATATAATCACAAACTTATCAAATACACTATTACCATTTTCTTGACTTGATCTAGTCGCCATCATGTTAATCGTACCATCTAATGAAACTGGATTCTCGTCAAACAAACGATAACCAGCAGGAACAGAGTCAATCTTTTTCCAAGACTCATTATTCACAGAGTATATTCCAACAATATAATGACTATCTTTTGCATTAATCTCAAATATAGCAATTATCTTATAATCATCACAACTAGAATCATACACGAACCCATACAACGTTGATTCGTACCCATATAGCATTGATACGTAATGATCAGGCTTTTGAACAGTTTTGTATTTTCGAATAGCTGGATTCCATATAAATATCGTAAAACTATACACCATACATAACAAGCCGTTACATGAACTCACCAATGGATATGAAATATCTCGAGAAATAAAATAATTTGGCGGATTAAGAGAAATAACTTTAGAATTAACACTGAGTGATGATGCACATGTTGTACCAATATTGAACGCTAACATGTTATATTCCAAACAAGGAGACGTAGTTATTTTTGACGAAATTAAGAGGATTTTTTGACGATTAATATCGGACGATGAATCGTCTATATGCAACTTGATGAAATTGGGATCGTTGATAATTGAACACCATGATTTTTGTACAATTTTGAAACGTTGAAGAGATTCAACAGGGAGTTTTGAGAGGATGCAAGTAATTACATCATCTCCCAAATTAAGACTCATTGGTCTTTATGTTTACTTAGGGTTTTAGTTTTTTTTTTTTTTAAAAAAATAAAAATAAATATATATATATAGGCCTCATGACGACTTATAAAATTAATTTAAATTTGGAAAATTTTAAAGTTTTAATGTGTTCTAATTAATATAAATAACGTTATTCTTTCCATATAGTATTTTCTATTTTTGTATAGTTTTCAAAGTATTATATTTAATTGTATTCGAGTTGAATTAGGATTAGATTCTTAGTTGATGTCACTTGTGTTAAGGAGAACGGAAACATATTATGGAGAATGGATGATGGTCGATTTATTGAGTACAATGTGCGGAAAAATGATTACACTGAATTTAAAGTGAAAAAAGTTCCATTGGGAGTTGAAATAGGACCTTTATATGTTGAAAGTTTAGTTTCTTTGAAGATTCCGTGGGATTAATTAGAAATATTAGATTTACTTTTCTTCGGCCGTATGGTTAAAATAGTGATTTCTATTTTCTAGTATTATTGCCTTTCAATTTTCATTCATCTATTATGTAATAGTTGTTTCCCATCTTATATTTGGATGAATATATATATATATATATAGACGACTTTATTGATGCGTTATTGTTTAGCACAAGTAAGATGACTAACAAATGTCATGTAACAAGTATTGAGTATGATTTGCGGAAAGTACAACAAAGTCATGAAATTTGCACTATATTAACATGCATGTTCGTGAGCAGAAACGAATATAGAATGTATTACATGTGTTTAAGCGAATTTAATGTCTTTTGCTCAAATTGTCGGAAAGTTGTTTTAGATTAAAAACACGTTCATGTATTTTTTTTTAGAGGGATGAGATTTGGTTTGATCTATTCTTTAATATATTATGTTTCCATTAATAACAATATTGGAAAATAGAAAAGTTAGAAGTTAGCTATACTTTAATTATAACTTCTTGATATTGACTTATTGAGTATGGTTTTGTTGTCCAACATATATTTTTTATATGCTTATTTTTATTATATGTTGGTACAAAGAATTGATCTTTTTTTTTTTGTTATTAACTTATATGTGAGATTTCTTAAATAATTTATGTGTAAAATGTAAGAAAAAATGGTTATTTTTTTATTTAGTATATGAAAAATTTATTGTAAGACCAATACCAAGGAAATATGAAATAAGAATGGTAAATAATTCTATTTTCGATAAATAAAAAACAGAATCCTAAACTAAGTTGGTAAAATAAATGTAGAGTCCTAATAGTCTTATACTATTACATTTAATAATTATATTTTATAAAAAAAAATACAAATAATTGAGAACTCTTGTGAGTAGGTGTGCATTCAATAATGCGGAATTTGCCTATTGATATTGTCAATTCCATTCTCTTATATCTTCCAGTCAAATCTCTTTTACGGTTCAAAATTACCTGCAAATCATGGTGTTGTTTCATCGATGATAGTTACTTCATCAATTCTCATCTACTGATATCGACAGTCAAAAAAATATTATTTTTTGACATTGTTGAAGGAAAAAAAATCAATTAAAGTCGGATCAATTAGTAGTGATTCCAAAGTTGTATTGTTGGACGAGCTCAATCTCCCAGGATTCGATAGTATATATTTTTTCATGCGGTGGCTTGGTCTTTATTACGTATCGTGAAAGCAAAAATATTATGATATTATGGAATCGAAAATATAAACTCATTCCAAAGTTGCAAAAGAAGGATTGTTTTCATGTATGGACAATTTATGGTTTTGCCTATGATGTTGTGGCTGAGGATTATGTGTTGATAAAATTGTGAACAAGAATATTGTTGAAATATACTCAATTAAAAATCAATCATGAAAAACAATTCCCAATATTTTTTCCGTTTGTGTTGATTAGAAACTGCAAACCAGTTTCATTACGTTAGGGCTTTCAAAAGGAATATACTGAATTTGAAGTGAAAGAAATTCCACCTTCATTAAAATTAGGACCTTTGTATGTTGAAAGTTTAGCTTCTTTGAAGATTCCATGGGATTAATTAGAAATTTCAAGCTGACTTTTCTTAGGCCTTATAGTTAAAATAGTGATTTCTAGTATTATTGCCTTTCAATTTTCATTCATCTATTATGTAATACTTGTTTCTCATCTTATATATATACGACTTTATTGATGCTAATTAATGAATGTCATGGAAAAAGCATTAGATCCGGCTCCTCTCCATTTTCCTCAAGTTCTAATCTGGATTAATAACATATGGCATAGATTAGAATATATCCCTAACCATGGTTTAGATAATAAATATATTATTATATCAATTAAAAATAGTCCTATTATTTTCTCCCATTTTCTCCTCATTCCCTCCGAATCCGATCGTTTCTTTCTTTTCTCCTCATGATGTTATTCCAGGTTTTCCCGTCTTTTTCGAGTGTCCAAATTGATATTTCCTCATAAATAATCGTCATAACACATACGCGATCACCCCAAGCACATTATTTCATAAGTTCCCCACATTTACTTGGCACGGGTGTTATAATAAATTTTTCATCGGCTAGGTGGAAAGATATTAAAAATTTTAATATGGTTGAGGCCCAACCAATAATAGCTGTGTGAGGCTCTATTCAATTTTTGACACTTGGATTTATGGGCCCCATTTTAACACCACACACTCTCTCATCTTATTTTTACCCAAATTCCCCCCTTTTCCCTCCAAAACATTTTAGCTCCTTGTTCAATATTCCTCTCTTTTTCACCGTTTTTTTTTAATTCTTTGTGCTCTTTATTAATTAGTAACTTGATTAGCTCTTTCTTTCCCATTAATCATTTATGTCCCTCAACTAAATCAATTTAAAAATTGTCACCTCTCAACCAATTCAACTAAATATAATTATTCCTCGTAGCCTTGGAAAAACAATCTTTAAATTTTATTTTACATCTCAAAAAATTGAATCAAATTCCTAGGATACCTTTAAAAGATAAATTTTGAATGAGAAATTCACACACACTTTATATTTGTATTAAGAAGTATTCACTGAATATCGAAAATCAAACTAAATAAAAATTAGCCAAATTGAATATTTCTTTTATGTCACGCCCCGAGCCTACACCCTGGGCGGGACTGGCACTCGGAGACCATTGCTGGCCCCCAAGCGAACCCTTGGCCTGGCTTTCTTAACTCAGCGGAAACTTAACTCAACAGAATAACTCAATGCCATGCAAAGACATAAATAACTTAACTGACGAAATCAAGCCAAAAAGGCAACTCTAGTCTCG